AATCAGGCAAGAGAAAGAAATAAAGAGTACACAGTTAGGAAAAGAAAAAGTCAAATTGTCCCCGTTTGCAGATAACATGATTGATTATTTAGAGAACCCCATTGTCTCAGCCCAAAATCTCCTTAAGCTGATAAATAACTTCAGCAAAGTCTCAGGATACAAAATCAATGTGCAAAAATCACAAGCATTCTTATACACCAGTAACAGACAAACAGAGAGCCAAATCATGAATGAACTCCCATTCACAATAGCTTCAAAGATAATAAAATACCTAGGAATTCAACTTACAAGGGATGTAAAGGACCTTTTCAAGGAGAACTACAAACCACTGCTCAGTGAAATAAAAGAGGACACAAACAAATGGAAGAACATACCATGCTCATGGATAGGAACAATCAATATAGTGAAAATGGCCATACTGCCCAAGGTAATTTATAGATTCAATGCCATCCCCACTAAGCTACCAATGACTTTCTTCACAGAATTGGAAAAAACTGCTTTAAAGTTCATATGGAACCAAAAAAGACCCTGCATTGCCAAGACAATCCTAAGCCAAAAGAACAAAGCTGGAGGCATCACACTACGTGACTTCAAACTATACTACAAGGCTACAGTAACCAAAACATCATGGTACTGGTACCAAAACAGAGATACAGACCAATGGAACAGAACAGAGCCCTCAGAAAGAATACCACACATCTACAGCCATCTGATCTTTGACAAACCTGAGAGAAACAAGAAATGGGGAAAGGATTCCCTATTTAATAAATGGTGCTGGGAAAATTGGCTAGCCATAAGTAGAAAGCTGAAACTGAATCCTTTCCTTACTCCTTATACGAAAATTAATTCAAGATGGATTAGAGACTTAAATGTTAGACCTAAAACCATAAAAACCCTAGAAGAAAACCTAGGTAATACCATTCAGGACATAGGCATGGGCAAGGACTTCATGTCTAAAACACCAAAAGCAATGGCAACAAAAGCCAAACTTGATAAATGGGATCTAATTAAACTAAAGAGCTTCTGCACAGCAAAAGAAACTACCATCAGAGTGAACAGGCAGCTTACAGAATGGGAGAACATTTTTGCAATTTACTCATCTGACAAAGGGCTAATATCCAGAACCTATAAAGAACTCAATCAAACTTACAAGAAAAAAAAAAAACAAACCCATGAAAAAGTGGGCAAAGGATATGAACAGACACTTCTCAAAAGAAGACATTCATACAGCCAACAGACATGTGAAAAAATGCTCATCATCACTTGCCATCAGAGAAATGCAAATCAAAACCACAATGAGATACTATCTTACACTGGTTAGAATGGCAATCATTAAAAAAATCAGGAAACAACAGGTGCTGGAGAGGATGTGGAGAAATAGAAACACTTTTACACTGTTGGTGGGACTGTAAACTAGTTCAACCATTGTAGAAAACAGTGTGGCGATTCCTCAAAGATCTAGAACTAGGAATACCATTTGACCCAGCCATCCCATTACTGGGGATATACTGAAAAGATTACAAATCATGCTGCTATAAAGACACATGCACACGTATGTTTATTGCGGCACTATTCACAATAGCAAAGATTTGGAATCAACCCAGATGTCCATCAGTGGCAGACTGGATTAAGAAAATGTGGCACATATACACCATGGAATACTATGCAGCCATAAAAAGGATGAGTTTGTGTCCTTTTTAGGGACATGGATGCAGCTGGAAACCATCATTCTCAGCAAACTATCACAAGAACAGAAAACCAAACACCGCATGTTCTCACTCATAGGTGGGAACTGAACAATGAGATCACTTGGACACAGGAAGGGGAACATCAAACACTGGGTCCTATTGTGGGGAGTGGGGAGGGGGGAGGGATAGCATTAGGAGATATACCTAATGTAAATGGGTGCAGCACACCAACATGGCACATGTATACATATGTAACAAACCTGCATGTTGTGCACATGAACCCTAGAACTTAAAGTATAATAATAAATATATATATATATATATATATATGAGGAGAAAGAATCTAAATGATAGTATTAAAATGTGATTTATAATCATGAAGGTTTTTATATGGAGGAAAAAATAAATACATTTAAAATTTCCCTAGTAAAGAAAACGACCTATTCTAGAACCCGTTAACTGCTAGACTATTGGCTTAAAATTTTCATGGGACAGAGAGGTAGACCAGGAAGGGCATGGACTTTGGAGCTGGGCAACCAGGATTGCACTGCCAGATCATGGGGCAAGTAGTAACTTGTCCCATCCTCCTCTTCCTCATTGGTCAAATAGAAATATTAATACCTACTCAGAAGTTATTGGGTGGTGGTGAGGCGAGAGGGAATCTTTAGCACAGTGTCTAGAATGTTCCAAGTGCCTAGTGATTCTTTGCCCAGGTTCTCCTCTTGAGTATTTTGAGGACTGGAAATCTAGGCAATACTGAGATTATTAATAAAGATTTCAAGTCAAGCCCTCAAGAACACAAGTCACAGACCCCAAAGCTTTTGGAGTTAGCAGGGTTTCTTTAATTAAAGAATCCCAGGAATGTGTTGGTTAGGGGGATGGGAGCTATGGCAGATGTGTGTGACATAAATCTGTCACAAATGCAAACTAGTTTTCCAGTCATTTGCTAGCAGGCCCACTGTTTATAATAACTGTTCATAGTTAATCAGGCTGATATTTTCTTCATACATTTTCCCTCAAGGCTCTAATAACTCTGCTCCTATGTTTTATGGTTACATGTTGTAGAATGAGACTCTGGTGGAAATATAGTCCCATTTTATAGTCTTTGTAGAAATGAGAGGCAGAGAAGAAAAGCAAAGGAAGCAAATTAGTGGTCAGAAAGGGTTCCAAGACAGAAATGCATGTTCTTCAAGCCAGGCCTGGAGGGTATATGAGGATGATAAAGGGTGGTCCAGAAAGCCTCCATCAGTGAAGTAGTTGAACAGAATTAAAACTATAGCAAAGATTCTTGGACTTGGTTAGGAGAAAACCCTGAGTGACCTGAACTAAATGAGTTCTGTCCAATTCAGCAAATACTTACTAATACCTACTATGTCCCAGACCCTTTATAGCCATACAGCTGCACCATCCAATATGGTAGTCATTAGCCACATGTGCCTATTGGAATTTATATTATTTAAAATTAAATAAAATTAAAAACTCAATTCCTCAGTTGTTCTATTTCTCAAGTTCCCAAGACACAAAACATGTGTGTAGTGACTACTATATTAGATGGCACAGAGGAGTATTTTTTTAAATGACAGAAAGTTCTGTTGGACAATGGTGCCCCAGAGGTATGTGGATGGCCAATATTTGACTCCTGCCCTTGAGGAATTTATGGTCTTGGAAGGCAGAGGAACATGTAAAGAAGGAAATAAGTTAGTGGGGTTGTGACGGAAGTATGTCAGCACACTGTTGTGGGAACTGGGGATAGGGTGATGAGGCCTAACAGAGACAGTGGTCAAATACAGTAGGATAAAGGAAGAACAGCTTTTCAAAAAGGCTATGTAGAGGGTGGAACATGATCAGAGTCTTAAAAGATACGTAGTTTTTCCTCAGGTGGAAAAGGGTGGAAAAAGGCATTATAAGCCAAAGTGGAAGTGCGAACCAAGAAGGGAGATACAGTGTGGAGTGTTGAGAGAAACACCCCTATCGTAGCCTGGCTGGAGTGTGCTGCCAGAGCTAGGCCAGGAGAGGCAGGCGGGCCAGGTTGGGGTGTTTGGGCACCACACTGGGGGTCAAGACTTGTCTTCTGGGCTGTGAGAAGTCAGTGAATGGTTTTAAACAGGAGAATGCATTTTGTGATCAGATTTCTATGAATGGGAATGGAAAAAGCTAGGAGTTTGTTTCCAATGGGATGCTCTTTTGAACAGTGCACATTTTGACATTCGGTCATATTATTTAACCCCTGTGATTCTCAGTTTTCTCATCTATAAAATGAGACTTATCTCCATCTCATAGGAATGATATGAGGATAAAATAACATAATGTAGGTAAAGCAGCCAGTACAGTTCCTGGCACATGGTAGGTGGCCAAAAAATCTTAGATCCTTTCCTTTTGGACTTACTGTGGCAAGGGAAACAAAATGAGTGAGGTCCATCTGTGCCCTCAGGGAGCTTAGAGCAGGGAGTGGACCTGTGTGGATGAGTAAAACAAGGACACAAGTAACTATGTCCACACCCCCGACACACCCCAAACATACACACACACAACCATACCAATGCCTAACAGATGCGTGTGCGCGCACACACACACACACACACATAATTTCTCCTGCCCAAGGAGATAGTTTAAGCTATGAGTGAGGAATCTGGCATCAACTAACCGGTGGGACGGTTTGTTCCTGCTTCATTTTCAGTAAAAGAATGAGTGCTTAAAAGCAGAGAATTGATGGAACCATGGAGAAGATAATGTTGCCACAGGGCAGGAAAGAAAAGACGGTCTCTGGTGTGGTCATGAAGTAGCAAGAGATGGGGCCTATAGGGAACCACCCCTCAACCTCCCTCCTCTCCAACAGGCTGCCCTGGTACTCCCTGGCTGGGAGGTAACATAAAGAGAGGTCACAGTGGGATGGGGTTCAGAGTAAGGGCATGAAGATTAAGTCTAAGATACGGAGCACTGGCTGTGGAGTTCATTAGATTTCTTATTTATCGATATAAAAAGCCGTCTGTATTCAGATTTTATACCAAATCCTGCTTCTTTTGTATAGCCATTATCTTCCTTCCATTTTTAGCTTCCAACATTTCCTATTTTCTGTTAACAATTGAAAATTGTATGTAGTACACTAGAAGTCTAGTTCTCATTGTAAATCTATGGCAGTGTTTCCCAATTGAAAACTCTCAACTAGAACATGGCAGGTGGAAATCAAAAGTGAAAGGCACAGCACCCTCAGTATTTTTTTGTTTTCAAAAACAAACTTTGACTTAAGTTCTGTTAAGTTAGAGTGGTGACAATGGTTATGTCCTATTGATCTAAAGCTCCAAGTAGCATTTATCTCCTGTTAATAAAACACTGGAAAACTAATTGTCAATATGTGCCGTTTGATGCATAATCCTTCAAAATACCTGATCCATTGAAAATGAGTTAAGAAGGACACTAGGAGGTGAACACACTGTTTATCACTGGCTCCTATCAGGACTATTGTGATATGTGGAAGGGTAAAACCAACCACATCACCTTTTCTTTAAGACTGTCAAGAGGCAGTCACAATCAGAAACATTTTCTCTTGATTTTTAACGTAGACATCAAAGTATGTATAGATCAGTAATTTCTTTTTCTATTTCTATGTGTTTCTTAAAAATGTAATTGGAGAGATGGCATCCTCTAAGATTGCATACTAGTCTGGCAATTATTTGTCATGAGAAATGTATTAAGAATAATGGATAACTTTAAGGTCCATAAAAAATATGAGACCTGTTGTAGTCCTAGAATTCCAGAGCTAAATTTTCTCAAGTCAAATTAGTATTTTGTGTCTGTTTCTTCTTTTGGTGCAGGTGAGGTATTCTTATAAATATTTGGCTTAGAGCATTCCACTTAAAATTTTTAATCTTTGTAGATTTATAGTATTGCGATTCCACTGTCAAAATGATAGATACTGATACGTATTTTAAGGTAATCTTATATGATTATTTTTCAGTGCACTGTATCAATCAATGCCCTGGCAGGTCATAAAATGTTACAGCTCATAAAGAACCAGTAAATACTCAATTTTCAAGGTACAGCCGAAGAACTATAAATTAAATTGATTACATAACTATAAAATAATTAGTCCAGTATTTCCAGACAACTTTTTAAAAGAACTTCCCTGCCACAGATCACTGTTCGAAAAGGAACTGGTCCCTATTAAGTCTGTCCAGTTTTGGACACTGTGCTTGAGTTTTTTCTTTTACCTTATATCCCCGTAGCTCCCCTCTACTTCCTTCCTCAAGGTGAGTTCGTTTCCTCCTTGGGCTTCAACTACCTCCTATATATAGGAGTTTCTAAATTTATGTCTCCTCCCCAGACGTTTCTTCCAATACATAGATTCAATGCCTCCATGCCTATTAGGTATGTCTTGGATGGGACTTTCCCACAAGCAGACCTTGAAACAAAGGTTTGAGTGCAAGTATTTAATTTGGGAAGATGTCCCATAGGCCCTGGTAGGGAAGTGAAGAAGTGATATAGGAATCAAGAGTTCATCATGAGGCAGATTTCCACTGGGGGCCACTGAAGTTCACTCCTGATGGGGAGCTCTGGGAGACAGGACACAAGACACCTTAGAATTAACCTCCCCCAGAGGGATCCTCCAGAGGGCTGGGGAGCGGGGTCATTGATCCTTCAGCTCCATCTGTCATTGCCTGAAGGCTCCTTTTGCAGATGTTAAATGGTCACTCTTTCCTTCGGATGTCCCTCCCACAAGAAGGACCAAAGCCTTCAGGTAGAAAGTCACAGGTGTATGTACTGACAAGGTGAGGCCAAAGGGATATAGGTGAGGACAGGGCACTGCAGTGTCTGAGAGTGACATTTCCACCTGAGTGTACACAGATTCATCAAGTTCCGCATATCCAACCCTAGCTCCCCAAACGTGTTTTTCGTCTGTATCCTGGGGAATGTGCTACAGTGTACTCCTTGATCCAGGCAGGAACCCCTCTCCATCTCCCTACTTCCTCTCATGGGTAAAATTCTATCATTTCCATCTATTCAAAGATCCTTACTCTGTCCACTTTTTTCTCTCACCACACTGGAAATCCATTATTTTCCCCACAATTTTCTATATTAGCCTCTTGACTGTCTCTCTGCCTTGAGTCACACCAACCTGTAGTATTTCCTATAGCCAGAGTGAGGGTTCCAAACTGAAAATCTGACCATGTTCATTCTCTGCTTAAAGTCATTGATGATAGTTCAGGGTACTGCATGTGAGGCCCTTCATGGTTTTATATCATCCCATGTCACTATTCTCACCTCACCATATACTGTGTATGCCGCCCTGGGTCTTTGCATAGGCTCTACCTGGTCCTGGCTCATCACCATAGCTCACGTGTCACCTCCTGAGGGTGTCCTTTTCTGACTCCTCACCTTCCCCCTCCCAAGCTGTGCAGCTGCCCCAGATGTGGCCTTGCTTGCTCACATTTCTTAGCATACCACAGTGTTATTGCCTCCTTTGACTATCTCTTGAACTCGGCTGTTTAAGTTCTCCAAAGGCAGTGACTCTATATTCATCTCAAATTTTTAGCACCTAGCACAATACCTGTTCATAATAGGTGCTCAATAAATAGTTGCTGAATTAATTTGTCTATATGAGTCTCTTTAATCTTTAAAACAGTCCTATAAGATAGGTATTACTGGTTTTACAGGCAAAAATATTGAGGTCAGATAGGCCAAACATCTTGCTCAAGATCACAAACCTAATAAATGATCAAATCAGGATTTCAACTCAAATCTGTCTCCCAAGTCCATATTCTTTCCATTAAATCATGTTAAGTTTTACTTTGTAATGCTCTAAACATTTCTTCTATTTCACTGTTTATGAAATTAAATTGCCTTAATCTTTTTATTTTTCTAGAAATAAATGTCTTCACAGGTGGCATCTAGAAATGCAATAAATATTTAGTCCCCAGGAATATGAGCCCTGCAAGGTTTGTGCTACAAACCTTGTAGAGCTTGCTGAGAAGAGCATATGATTGTGTAGTGGAATTTTTATGCTTTGGGTTAGATCATAGGAATGAATATCCATGGTTAGTTTGTGATGCGTCTAAGCTGTGGAATCTCAATAAGCATCCATCAGTTTGACAGTCAAAAGGATATATATGAGGGCCTTGGGGGTGGGCAGGGTGAAGCAATTTGGAAATATAAGCAGTAAATTTTCATACATCACTGATTGTGACAGTGAAATGATTATCCATCAATTACAAAGCAGTTAAGTAGATATGTTTCTTGGTTTTTACTGCACTATTTATGTATCCGGGTCTCCTGGAAGAGCTGCTCCTGTACCACAGTCCATGCTGGACAGCCTGCATCACTTTCAGTGCCTGTTGGAGACACAGAGAGGCTATTGGATTTAGGAACAAATAAAAGGCAAAAAGAAGAGGTGATACTGAAAGAATGTTACTTTTCAAATAAATCATGTACCTGGGAAATTATAAGGAAAATATTTCCCCAAATAAAACCATATCAGTCTAACGAAAGGTTATTTTTTAGTGTTGTGTAACATTAAAAAATACCAATTTGCCTATATAAAAAAGTTATTAAGTTGTTTATAAATTCAAAGTTGCAAAGTACATTTCTTTACATCCTTATAAGTTCTAGGTCCGTTGGATCCCTGATACAAAATATAAGAATTGGAAAATTCAAATAAGAATTCAGGGGAAGAATAAATGACAAAATAAATGTGAGATACTTAGTGTAGTATCTGGGATATAGTAAACAGTCAATAACTGTTTGCTATGATTATTATTCATATTATTATAAGAAAGACAATTACTGAATGAGATCTTGTTCTTCTGTCATGGTGATATTAATCAGTGTTCGGCTATTGGCAATTTCACACACATACACAAACATACATACACACACACACACTTCACTGACTCTTTCTATGAGGCTGAAATTAAAATTCGTGATTTATCAGATACGGTACCATCCTCAACAAACACAGCAGATACAACTGACAAGTAGAATATAGCAAAGACTATTCCTACACATATGGGCCTTCTTACAAGACTTGTTTCAGAGGTACTTGCTTGAAGTTATCCTTTAGTTTAAATCTTTGCATTAGTCTGATATCAACAAAATATCATAGGATCCTTTCTGTTAACCAGCTTTGTCTGTGAAAAAAAATTTCATATTAAATTCATATTAAATTGGAGACTGAAGTGCTAACATTCCTGTGATTTCTCAAATACACATTGGAATTTAGGAGGTGATTAATTAATCTTTAGTCCTAATGGGCTGGACCTGTAGTTCAAATATTTAATTCTAAGTTCTAAGAATGAACAGTATCTCCCTGTTGAGCCAAAAAAGATAATTAATAGAAAATAAAGCAAGCAATAACACATACCTACCAGTTTTAAAACATATAGCTCAATATCTTAGTCAAATATATTGCCAAAGATCATGTTTTTTTGGGGAAAAGAAAAACAAAACAATATTACATACCCCTAAATGTGTAAAGCCACAAGAGAATATATCATTAGAGAATCATCTTTATCATATGGAAATGCTGCTTGATGATATCTGCTCATTTCAAATTGGCCTGACAGATCATCTGAAAGTGTATGAAGAGGTTGTTGGCGAGACTGGCCAGTTGGTTTTGCTTGTCAACTCGTGATACAAGGGAGAGGCAATGAAGATAACTTATAGAGATTTTGTATAAGAGATAGTTATATATTTGGTTTGATATGCACATCTTAGGCCTTCAAGCTTGCTCCCATATCAGTGCTGGAAAATCCTGCCCTTAAAAAAAAAATCACTGGTGATTTTTTAAAAATTAGATGCAGTATTACTACTATTATTATTTTGGTACACACATCCATGAGTTTTGACACATACTTAGATTCAGGTAACCACTACTACAACAGGCTTATAGAACAATTCCATACACTCTCCAAAATTCTCTCTTGCTGCCCCTAATAGTCAAATCATCCCCTAACCCCAATGCCTTCTAAGAAAAGACATATAAATAAAATTATTCAGCATGTAACTTTTTGAGACTGGCTTGTTTCACTTAGAATAATGCTTTTGAGAGTCATTCACATGGTTGCATACATCATTTGTTTGTGCCTTTACAGTGTCGTATTCCATTGTATGGTTGTACCATACAATTTCAATAGATTTGTTAATCTATTCTCCAATTTAAGGGTATTTTAGTTGTTTCCAGCAGTTAACTACATGTGTAGACATTCATGTACAGGTTTTTATGTAGCCTTTTTTTTTTTTTTTTTTTTTTTTTTTGAGACCAAATAATGCTCCGTCCCTCAGGCTGGAGCGTGGTGGTCTGTGGTGCAATCTTGGCTCATGACAACTTCCACCTCCAGGTTAAAGCAATTCTCCTGCCTCAGCCTTCTGAATAGCTGGGATTATAGGTGCGTGCTGCCACACCCAGCTAATTTTTGTATTTTTAGTAGACCCAGGGCTTCACCATGTTGGCCAGAGTGGTCTTGAACTCCTGACCTTAAGTGATCTGCCTGTCCTGGCCTCCCAAATGTTTTCATTTCTAAATAACTAAGTTATTTACCTTTGGGCCACTCTGGAAACTGCCAAACCATTTTCCGGAGTGATTGAACCATGTACTCCCACCAGCAGCATATGAGATATCCAGTTCTGCCACACCCCTGCACTTGGCATGACCAGTCTCTTTTGATTTAGTCATTCTAATAGATGCCCTGTCTTCTAACCACGTTTCTGTCCTCTGTACCACTAGGGACCACCAGTGGCAACTTTCCACCCAAATTTTTCCATCAAGAAATCTTGGAACACGTTCTCCAATTTATACCATTAGCCTTATTTCAACCCAAAATAGTGTGTGGTGGCATGAGATACTCCTGAAGACTATCAAGCATTGTAAAATCATTATCTTCTTCATCTGAAGACATCCAGAACAAGCCCTGCTACTGGTAAATGAGCTTTAATTTTTGTTTACCATGAGTCAGCCTGAAAAATGTCAAAGAACACTCAATAAAACTTTCCATGTCCTTTAATCTTATCTTCATTATCACTTGTGATGAAGCAAGAGCATGGTTCCTTCTAGCAATCTTGCATTCAATAAATACTTACTGAGTTCCCTTTGTGCCAGGAACTTTTGTAGATGCTGGGGATACAGCAATGAACAAAGCAGACATAAATGCTTGCCTTTACAATCCTAAAAATTTGGGGGTGGATCAGGCAATAGAAAATAAATAATTGAAATAGGTAATATTTTAAATGCAAAATGTTATAAACAATAAAGCAGGGAGGTTACAACCTTAAATAGTGGGTACAGGGAAAGCTTCAGTGAGAAGGTGATGCTTGAGTAAAAGTTGATGGCAAATCCTGAAGAAACCTCTGTAACTGTGTTGCAGGCAGAGGAAACAAGTGTACAGGCTTTGATGCAGGACCGTCTATGTCATGAGTGAAGAGCAGTAAAGCACCAGGGTGGCTGGTGGAGAGGGCGAATAAGAACATGGTATAAGATGAAGTTAGGACTATATCGTGTAGGACCTTATAAGCCACTTTAATGATTTTGGGTTTTGTTCTAGACAGGAAACCATTGGAAGGCCTTGAGAAGAGAAGTGATGTGATAGGACTTACTCTGTCTTCTATGCAGTGCATAGACCTGGGGTCAAGGGTAGATTCAGAAAGACTAGTTTAGAGACTATTATGGTAATTCAAGCATGAGATAATGGTGACTTGAATCAGGCTGGTATCCAATGGAAATATGAATCCAGCCAAGCCGAATAAGTACCTTTTGTGTGAACATTCTGAAAATATATTGGATGCTATGGTTGTTTTTAAGACTTATTTTCCACATGCTGGAATATTACCAATGTTTGGATTTCATCAAACACAAAAGGCTGTGCTTGAGGAATCTATATCATGCATGCTGAAATTCTTAGTGAAAGAAGCTATGTCATTAATAGAATTTTGAATTCACATACTCTGGAAAATATGACATCTATAGCTTATAACTGAGGAAGAAACCTAAAATATAGTGCCTCAGGTCTCAGATGACACAATTCATCACCATTACTGAGGACGTTTCTCCTAACATTTTGTAGTCTATAATGTAAATATTCATAGGTTCCATGGCCATTCACAGCAGACTAATGAAACAACCAAATGAAGCCATCTCCAGGTTTTCTTCTGTTTTGTGCACGGCTATTCCATCAAAGAATTGCTATATTATGAGCCCCTTTCAGAAACTACAAAAGCCTCTGACATGTTCAAATGATGAAAATTGTCTTTGCCAATCCAAACATCATTAGAAGAAAAAAACAAAAACAAAAACAAAAAACCTTGGTGTTCTTTACTCAGATGGCAGCACTGTGATGCTTGATCACACATCTGAGTTTTGCTATTTTGGTTAATAAAGAAACTATTTGTTTTCACATCAGCAAGCACTGGTGTTAGTTCCTGCCAGCAGGCTTGAAAGACTTGATAAGGTCAAGCAAGTCACATGATCATGGGACAGGGGGTCCTTCCCTTTTAGGTAGCCGAAGCATATCTCAGTGTTTTCTTCTATGCTGTTATAAGAAAGATCAAAGACTTTAAGACTTTCACTATTTCTTCTACCACTATCTACTAAGAACTTCAAAGAAGAATCAGGAGTATGGGAGGAACATGGAAATGGACAAGGAGTGTGACCATTGAAGCACAGCATCATAGGCAGGCCTGGATAATATCCAGCTGCCCACAAGAAGCTGGTGGAGCAGAGTGTTCCCTGACTCCTCCAAGGAAAGGAGACTCCCTTTCATGGTCTGCTAAGTAATGGGTGCCTTCCCAGGCACTGGTGTTATGCTTGACCAAGGAACCCTCAAGTGGCCCTTATGCAGGCATGACAGAGGGTTCACCTCTTGCCTTCTAGGTCACTTCTCACAATGTCGCTCCAGCACCTGACCCTATACCCGCCGGTTATTCCTTGGTTATATTAGTAATACAACGAAGAGTAATGTTAAAAGCTAATGATTAATAATGTTTATACTAATGATTAATAACATCCATGATCATCTCTATATCTAAAAAAAAAAAAAAGAAATCTTGTCCAAGGTCACAAGCATCACCTTCTCTTCAGAACCACTTTTATAAGAAGTTTCATTAAGAAGTGGGAACAGAATGTGAAGTGTTTCTCCTTGCATAGAAGATCTCTAATTTTCTACCAAACGTCTTGAAACATGAAACTGCATTTCTGCATTTCAGGCAGCAGCTTCAGTTAAGAACAAAGTTCCCTTGGGTAATAGTTTGATAGACATGCCTTCATGCATTGACTTATTTAACAGATGTTTTAAGTCCATGGTATTCAAAATTAGGGCATACAACAATTTTTCAAGGAATGTGAGGGCATGTTGGAATTTAATGGATACAAATTCTTAAAATTTCAGCTTCGTGTTAAACTTTTCTCTAGAAGTAATCTGCCTGAGAATGCATTTCAGATTATTTCTCCTTTTTCACTTATTCTTTCATTATTGCTTTTGTCCACTGAAAAGAAGATATAGCTCTCGTCCACTCAAAATTTAATATGCTGCATTTCCCAAAGTGCAAAACCTCTAAGATATAAAATATGATGATGATTTTGAGAAAGGTACTAATTTTAATAACCAGGAAACAAATTATTTTGCAAGTCAGATAGTTTTCAATTATTAGTTTTTAATAAAGTTGAAGAGGACCTAATCAACTCTCAGTTGCTAGATCATTAAATATACTGTTTGATGACAGACAATGACTTTAACAGGATAACTTGGAAGGATTTTAGAGACTTGAGCAACATTACTACTGTTCAATCTCATCTACATATGTATATAAATAAGTTTTCTTGGGCTTACTAAAATTGATATATAAGAATAGAATAGATGGAAAAACCCTCTCTCATTTTAAGAGGTAATACTCATTCAAAGATAGATGAACTAACAGAAAAATGATGTGATTTATTGCATTAAATGATGCAATTCCAATAAAAATAATTTTATCTCTAATAATTATCTATCAAAATTTGTAGTGAATTTATATTGTTTCAAGAATCAATTTTATGTACTACCTATAATTATGATTATTAAAACTAGAAGAATTTTAAATACTGAAAGCTTATAACCATAAGAAATAAATTCTAAAAATGCATTCACATTTTATATAGATAAATAAAATTGAGTAATCAATAAAAGACTTTTAAAATAAAAATTACAATAAATTCAGATAGAATTCTATAAAGTAAAATGTCAAGTTTCTCACCTGTTCACTTCACTCATATGTCCAACTTTATTCTAAATCATTCAGCATTTTTATCAGTTATTTTCACCTCTCTCATGGAAAATTCCAGCCTCCGGGCCATCCTGGAGTCTGTTTCTATTGATTGTTTCCTCTCTTGGTCATGAGTTACTTTTTTTTGCTTTTCTGTGTGCATTATAATTTTGGGGGGGGGGGGTGAGAATGTTTTGTGTAAGAGATCAGTAGAAACTGAAGAAAATAAAATTTCTTCCAAAAAGTAAGACATTCCTTTTTCTAGAGTGAGAACCTAGTCAATCTGAACCATATTTGAATACTCAGGGCTTTTTTGCACTGGTAGTTTTACTTGGTTCACCACTGTTTTCAAATATTTTGAGGATATGATCAACTTTTCTTTCAACAGAGCCTGGTATCAGAGCATTGGAAAGATTTCAGAAACTTTCCTGAGTTTTAGAGTTCAGCTGCCAAATTTTGGAACTGTGGGTGATATCTGCCCGCTTACGGCCCAGCTGGCGTGATTTTGAGTCCCTGGAGTGTTTTCTTTGCTATCTCACCTGCCCCTTGCTTTCTGCACTTGGGGTGACATCTTTCAACCTAATGGTCCCTTTCCTAGCTTTTGAAGTGCTGCTGCCTTACTGCCCTATGCTCTCTGAAGACCTGGAATGTCCTGGAAGGGTTTCTCTTAGCAGTTGAAAGCTTAGCGTGCCTCTCTCTACTCTCCTGCTGTGTGCCCCCCAACACTCCTCACCTTTTGAAGGGGATTTGACTTTGGGCGAATACGTTAAAGAAAAACTCTCTCTCAGCTTTTCTTCTCTGGTTCCCTTCCTTTGGGCAAATTACCCCTCATACTGTGACCTACGTAAGACCTGTGAGTGAAAGTTGGCAGGTAGATGTGTGGTCACAGGGTCATGGGATTCCTGGGGATGCCATCCATCAAGCCAGCTCACACAGGGCTGTTCAATAGTTGTTAAGTGTTTGGCTAGCTTCTTTCTATCTCCATCTGTGGGAGGAGCCATAGATCGTTCCTCTTCCCTGAAGGGTTTGCCACTTTCTCGAGTTTTGTTTACCTAGACATCTTTATAACTGATCTGGCTTTTTTGTAGCCTATTTTATTATCTATTTATTTATTTTAACATTTTGCTTGTTAGGGTGGGAGTGATGATCTTTTGCTACTTTCTGCATCCAAACCAAAAGTTCTGTTCAAATATGTATTAAAACTGATGATTGCAGTTATCAAATTATTTGGCATTTAGATTGCATTAGTTTCACCTAAAAATGATATTTTGATTTGCTTTTAAAATATTTTTAAAAACACTATGTCAAGAATTATATGCCTCAGAACTATTTAAGCTTATGATGAAAAATTTTAGATGTCAACTTAAAAATATGTAAGGGAATATATAGTTCTTCATTATTCTATTGGGAGTACATGTCTGAGCTCAGGAATAATAGTAAAGGTAATCTTTTTATTCTTTCTTGATTAGGGCAGTGTGGGTGACTGGCTTTGCTTTGCTTCAGGCTGTGGGTCCTCTGGGCTCAGCTCCAATCCCCTTTCTGCAGGCTGGAGTGGAACAGGGGGTTCAAGACCTTGTCAGCTTCTCACTAGACAGAAATTGCAGGAGTTTAGACTAATCTAGAACTCTTTCAAAACAGATCTTAGAAGCTAACACATTAATTTTGTAATTTTCATCTTAAAGATGTATAATTTTCAATATCCCTGATTTAGATAAAGCTGAGTTTCAATGTCTAACTCAAATATAATTCATTTTAGAATTCAGAATTGCTCCTGGGAAAAAGAAATTGTTACAGCAAATTTTGCTTTACTAAGTCAGCAGTATGAAATATTCTGATCCAAAATAAACACTGTCTGACATATAGTGCAGGAAATATCTATACATTTCTAGTATATCACCTATAATACAATATTTACTCAGTTTTC